TGTACCACATCTTTCTAATCCAGTCATCTACTTTTGGGCATTTGGGCTGCTTCCATGTTTTTCCAATTGTAAATAAAGCAGCAATAAACATGGGTATCCCCCTTTTTTTTAAGAATTAAAAAAAAAAATGTGTAAAAGGATTTGCAGAGACAGAGTGGGGAGCAGAACAGGCAGCTCTACTGAAATAACCCTGCTGAGGGGAGCAGCACCATGTGGATTAGCTCCATGGCGGGAATTCAAAGTCAGGCCATCACATTGAGGCATCTTGGTGGTAGCACTGAGATTTAACTCCTGGGCTACCAAGAGGCCCCCTCCATCATCCATTATTAATCACTATTGATATTTTTAGTTTTTATCCTCTTCCAGTCTCTTTTTTTTATGTTATCTTTTAATATCAATTTACTTATGTGGTTTTCTTATAATTAAAACTTTCTTGATAAATTTTTATCATGTTTTAAAAGATACATGATTATTATTACCTTTTAGGATAGTAGAAGGTGAGGGGGTCACTCTTCTGAGTGTATACTCATGTTGTTCACAGTTTTGAACTATGTAATGCTTTTAACTATTCAGAAGAATTTCTGAAGTCTTTAAACTGGTCCACTTTTAAAAATGACTGTGGAATTCTCCATTTTATGGATAAGTGAATTGACCACTCTTCTGAAATACCTGTTCAGAGTATTAACAACTTTTAGAAAGTGACATGCAGTGTTATGATAAATATCCTCATGGTTGCAAATATTTCCACGATAATCTCAGGATATTTATAGAGATATAATTGTAGGCACAAAAGAAGTTACATTTGCAAACCCTTGATAGCCATTACCAAGGCCATTGATGGATGTGTGAAAATACCTATAACTGGTCTGCTCTCAAACACCAATAACTACTTTTCTTTGCAATACCTTTCTCCCTTAGTTCATATGTTTATCCCTGTTTTTGTAGTGTTAACCACATAATATATTTTGTAAAGGCTATCAACTTTTGATAAACTGAACATTTTTATTATATATTAGCTGGTGTCTTTAATTTTGTATCATGGGCATTTATTGTATGTTCATAAATTTGTTTAAAAAGTCAAAGCTACAATGGAAATTAGATACGTTCCTTTTCGAAAAGCATTTCTAAGGTGAGAAAACAAGCTACGTTTATGTGTTTTTCTCCTTTTGGTATATTGGAGCTTTTTTCTTCATTTATTTTATCACATACTTATCTGACCCACCAAGATTGTTGAGGGCTGAAGTGGACACTTATATTGTTTTACCTTTCCCAGAGATGCTTTTTGAAAGTGGTTCTCCCACTGCTATGATAATAGAAATGGTAGCAACTACATGAACTTTTACTGAATGGCAAATACTGTGCTGGGCACTTTAGGTGCTTCTCATTTGACCCTTAAGTAATCCAGCTATGGGATATCACCCCTTTTTACAGGTGAAGCAGCATAGTCTTTGAAAGGTTAAGTAGCTTGCCCAGAGTCAATGTCACATTGAATTGGCATTATCGCTAGTATCTCCTACTGCCTACACATTTTTTTTAAAAGAAACTTTTGAAGGGAAGGTCTCTAACAGAGACATGTTTCCAATTTTTTATGCTTTTCTTTCAGTGTAGAAATATTCTTAGGAGCTTAGGAGTTGCTATACCATTTTATTGCCATCTTCTCTTTCCAGCTCCTATTTTCTTTTTTTCCTATTAGTCACCACCAACAGTGATTTGGATGAGCAACCCACAGTGACGCTGCTGGGATTGCCCAGAGCGTCCTGGACTGTATCTTTATTAAATTATGCCACGTTTGTTATTACTTCATTGTGATACAGTAATGCCTTTCAAATCAGAAAATTAGCCTGATCACTGTGGTGTATTTACTGTCAAACTACATATAGATTATAGTTGATTTCTTTCTCATGTAGCCACATTTATCTGGTGTAGTAAAAGGAATAGTGTTTTCTGTAAGCATCCCTTGATTTGTGCTGGACTTTGGAAAATTACAGTCTAATTTAAAATGTATTTTTTCTTTGCTCTTTACATAATCACTATTGCAGTATTCACTTTTAAAAATTAAATATTGACAGGTATGTTGTATAAATTGTTTCATTTTCAGAACCTAGGGAAATCAGTGGTCATACTTCTGGTATTAAAAAGGCGCTATGGTGCAGTGATGATAAACAAATACTTTCAGCTGATGATAAAACTGTCCGGTAAGTAATTTTTCTTTAGTAGTTTCAGACTTGAAAACTAATTGATCTTAGTTTAACCCTTACAGTTTAAAAACTTTTTATAATAATTTTGTAGGAAGAGTCGGCCTGAGTAGAATTCAGTAGCACATGCATCACATTTTCTGGTCCAACACATTTTCCAGTACAATTACTACCATAAACACAGCACAACTGACAAGATTCCAAAGTTGCTGATACTTTCATAAGTAGGTGTTCTTAACCCATGCCAGTGGGCAGGCTGACCAGAGGGGATCCACAGAACCCTGAAGTTCTGTGTATAATTTTGTGTGTTGACATGTTTAGTTTTCTATCAAAAGACAATGCCACTTTTTAAAACAGTGGACTAGGACCTAAGTTTCTTTTCTTTTTTTTTTTTTTTTTAAAGATTTATTTATTTATGCATACAGAACTGGGGTACAGGCCAGAGGTGCAGGGGCGGCGAGAGGCTTTCACCAGAGACAGAGTGGGGAGCAGAACAGGCAGATCAACGAAGTACACTGCTGAGAGGAGCAGCGGGCGGGTCAGGAGAGGTCTGCCACGCCATGTGGTCTCCTCCGGGCCAGGCGGGAATCGAACTCATGCGGAAGTGGCTTTAGCTTCTCAGTGCTGTGCCTCAACCCGCTGCGCCACCAGGGAGGGCCAGGACCTAAGTTTCTTAATGGCATAATTTTGCTAACTTATTTTAGAGCTGTATTTAAATTTGACTTTATCAAAAACTACTTAATATTTTTGACACTGTGTAGTATCCCAAAGCTTCTATGGGTCATCTGTAATTCTGATTCTAGTGTGTCTTGTTTGAATCTTTTTCTTAACAAGCAAATGCCACCATATTTTCCTTTTTCTTTTTGCAGCCTTTGGGATCATGCTACTATGACAGAAGTGAAATCTCTAAATTTTAATATGTCTGTTAGCAGTATGGAATATATCCCTGAGGGAGAGATCTTGGTAATAACTTATGGACGATCAATTGCTTTTCATAGTGCAGTAAGGTATGTTCACAAGGAATACTTTCATTTTCCTGTAACAAAAAGTACAATTTAAGGTACCTAAAAATTGGAAGGCATATGGGAAAGAAACTTTGCTGTTTTAAAAGCATCTTTGCTGTATATTAAGGAGGGAAATGCTTCCTTATCCACTAATAATGTGTTTTTTTATAGGAATTAGTTAAATTGATTTCTGGTTATTTGGGATGTTGACTGGTAAATTTTAATAACTTATAAATTTTTCTTAAATGATCACTAGGCTGGTTCTGTAACTCATGTGGTCTAAGCTGTTTCTGTGAGCAGGTATTAATTTTAACTTGAAAATTTTAGTGAAATAGTGATTTTTTTTCCTTCTGAGTATGCATAGCTCGATGGTATTATATTTATTTATTGTTTTTTAAAGATTTATTTATTCATATAGAGCTGGGGTACAGGCCAGAGATGCGGAGGGTGAGAGGACTCACCAGAGACAGAAAGGGGAGCAGAACAGGCAGATCGACAAAGTACACTGCTGAGGGGAGCAGCGGGCGGGTCAGGAGAGGTCTGCCACGCCATGTGGGTCTCTTCGGGGGCGGGCAGGCGGAATCGAACTCATGTGGAAGTGGCTTAAGCTTCTTAGTGCTGTCCTTTAACCCGCTGCGCCACCAGGGAGGGCCCTCGATGTTATTTTTTAAACAGACTTATTTTTTGTGACTATAAATACAGTAAAAGCTCGTGTTGAAAATTTGGGAAATACAAATTGATTCACAGTCCCACAACCATAGATGCCAGAATGCTTATGGTAGTTGTATTTTCTGCTAATCTTTTTTCTCTTTTTATAAATGGGTGTATATTGGTGTGGTTTTTTAATTTTTATTTTAAAACATACTTAGCAATTACTAGGTATATTACATTACTGTTGTCCTAAATTATCAGTTCAAAGAGTAGAACTGTATTTGTTTCTCAGTGTATATGTTACTTTTTTTATATGTGTAAGACTAAACATTGTACTATGACCAGCGATTCTAACTTTTTGTTTAATGGACCACTTACAGAGCTAATATTCACTGCAAGTCAGAAGGAAAGAGAAGACATTAAAAATGAAGAACAATTAAAAATATAAAGTGGCTCAGACACATGGGGAGTGCTAATACTGTCATACCCAGAATGCAGCTTTGCTGTGCCTTTGCCTTAGATCCCATTTTGGTGGCAGAGGTTGTTGGCCTGTTGACTATTCTAACATGTGAGCCAGCAAGTTGCCCTTCAGTGGTCCTGCATAAGTGATGACTGACTTTAAATTTCACACTTCGTAGTGTGTGGTGATGAAAATAGATGGTGGGGTTGAGGAGCTCCAGTGCGATGATGCTTTTGTGGTGGCATTTCAGGACTTGAAGGGTTGAACTGGAAAAGTGTAGATGTCCAAATTCATTTGGTATTCAAGTGAAGCTGTAGTTTATATTGATTTTTATTAGATGATCATGGTCTCATATTTGGTTATTCTTTTATTGCCTGATTTAAAAAACAGCCATATTTTGCAGTTTTAATTTGATGGCATATGAAGGTTTATTCTGTTATAGAAACTTATAAACTCAGCTGTTAAGACTAGTGTGCAACTAATCCTTTAAATAAAAACCTTTACTGTTGATAATTCAGACAATAAAGTAAAACTTTTTTTTTTTTAAAGATTTATTTATTTTTGCATACAGAACTGGGGTACAGGCCAGAGGCTCAGGGGCGGTGAGAGGCTTCACCAGAGACAGAGTGGGGAACAGAACAGGCAGATCGACGAAGTACATTGCTGAGGGGAGCAGCGGGCGGGTCAGGAGAGGTCTGCCTTGCCATGTGGTCACCTCCGGGGCAGGCGGCAATCGAACTCATGCGGAAGCAGCTTTAGATTCTCAGTGCTGTGCTTTAACCTGGTGCGCCACCAGGGAGGGCCCATAAAGTAAAACTTTTAAAGTGAAAATCTCAGTAAACCAGCTATGCTGTTTTAACTAGCCATCATACTAACTTCTATAGAAATGTCAGTGTTCCTGTCATGAGCTCCTTTTGGGCATAGTAGCTTTCTGAATATTTTTGCTAGTACTCAAATGTGGTTTTTTAAAAATGTTTTTTTTTTCCCCCCCTAGTTTGGACCCAATTAAATCCTTTGAAGCTCCTGCAACTATCAATTCTGCATCACTTCATCCTGAGAAAGAATTTCTTGTTGCAGGTGGTGAAGATTTTAAACTTTATAAGTATGATTATAATAGTGGAGAAGAATTAGGTGAGTTATCCTCTTTTTTCCACCCTCTGTGGAATGTTAGGTGTTAATGAACACCTCATTTATGCCTGCTACATCTTGAAAGCAAATTTTTTAGCTAACTCAATTGTGCTTACTTCCAAGTGAAAAATTAAAGGAATATTAGGCACTTTGGGTAGAAATTTCTATAGAACTATAAATAATGTTTATTGAACTAAATGTTTTCTTTTTAATTGCTTACCTTTTCATTGCAAGCTGATGTTCTCTGCAGTAGTGCAGTGTATTTATTTGGGGAAAAGGGAAGCATTCTTCTGTACAAAATCTTATTAAGCAGGAATAAGAAAATTTATTCTTCCTGAAGTGTAGTGCAGGTGATGGAGGTAACTGAGATGGATGGTTTAAAAAAAGGTTTTTTTGACCGTTACTCTTTGGGTATGACTTTTGCTTCCCATTTCATGATAATAGTGTATGATAAAATTGAAAGACAGGTAGGATTAATTAGAAGTTAATATAAATCCAAACTTAGTATTTCTCTGATAGGTAGGCATTTCATAGTTAAGGCTCTCAGTATTTACTTTGAACTTTACAAGTGTTTTTTTACTTTTGAAATAGTTAATTTCATTATAATAAATTTTTGTCTAGAAGATAGCAGTTGGTGTTAGTGTTTTGTCTATTTCTGGCTGTCCTGTTTTACCATGCAATAGTGTAAAATCATTAGAATTTAATACATAAAGAGCCAAAGATGATGTTATGTTTTATTTCTTTGGGATAATGAATGGATTTGAGTGGCATAACTGGAACCTTGGTGAATGGAGCATATAGAACCTATTTTAATTGTTTGTGGTGCCCCCATTAAATAAGTAATCTTCAAATAAGAGGATCTTTTCTATTATTTAATTCCAGTTTCAAATTTTAAAAGTTTTTGGTTACTAGGTTATTCACCTTGAAAATGAGAGAACTAAACTGTGCTATCTGAGGTCATGGTGAATATTGGACCAGCCTCTTAGTTCTGAAATTTTTTACTACTTACAGTCTTTACATTTTCTGGTACATGAGGATCTTGAAGACTTAGACAAAACACTGTCCTAATAAAGGGCTTTAAAAAATAAGTTGATGCATTAGAAAATGCATAAATGATAAAATTCTGTAAGTAAGGATATGACTTAAAGAGAACAAAAATCACTGTTAATCTATATTTTTCACTAGATTCCGTAGATTTGCATATTTAAGTATCACTGTTGATTCTCTTATGTGTGATAGAATGACTCATGGACATTGGATAGCCTGGTGGGAAATTAAGAGGCAGAGTGTAAAAAGAGCTCCATCTAGTGGCTCTCTGTAATCATTATTAGAATTGGTTATCTCGTAAATAGATATCGAGTTTAGGATATGGAAATTGGGATTGACTATAGATCTTTTTCTAAAATTTAGAAGGGTTTTCATTTAGCCCTTCCTTTATCCTTATTGGAGCACAAAGTCTCATTTTTTACGAGAAACAGTCTCAAGCTAATGTATGCTAACATTGGAAAGGAGAAAGAGACATGTCACTTTGAATCATTATCTTTAATTAGGTATAGTTCTTAGTATTTGCTCTTATGAATTTTGTACTTTCCCAAATTATAGATAGTATTTTTTTGAGAAGTAAATGTTTAACCTTTCTTTTTTTAAGTGTTAAATTATCTAAGAGCTTTCCTCTTTTCAGAATCCTACAAAGGACACTTTGGTCCTATTCACTGTGTGAGATTTAGCCCTGATGGAGAGCTCTACGCTAGTGGGTCTGAAGATGGAACATTGAGACTGTGGCAAACTGTGGTAGGGAAAACATACGGCCTTTGGAAATGTGTGCTTCCAGGTAAGGGCTTTATTCAGTATTGGCGCATTAAGTATCATAATTGTGTGATACTTTTTATCTTTGATTTGTTTCAGTGTTTTTGTTTCTATAAATTTTAAATTATATAGTGTGGCTGAAGGAATGAGAAGCCCATGATTTATAAATCGACCATTGTGGATTTTTGTTTAAATTTTTTTCATTGTAGAATCTTTTTTTTTCCCTAAATTTTCACACTAAATCATTCAGTGAATGCAATGAACCTAAGCCAAAATTTGCTAGCAGGCATTACAAAGACTTTACAAGTGAATGTGTCTAATCTCTGACTGGCTTTGTTCATTGATCCCTACTATTAAGGTAGACATGTGTTTAGTAAAAAATTCTAATGAGATTGAATGTAGTAACAGTGTGAACTTAAAATTTTTGAAGAGCTACTATTTTAGAATTAGAATTACTAAAAAAGGGGGAGTTATGTTTGTAGCTTGCTGCATAGGGCACTCATGGCTTCTTTTCCTTGCTTAGTCTTAGGAATGACTTGTAATACTGAAATTCATGTAATCATTGTTGCTTTTCTTTTCATAGAAGAGGATAGTGGTGAGCTGGCAAAGCCAAAGATCAATTTTCCAGAGACAGCAGAAGAGGAGCTGGGTAAATATCAGTTAACTTTTATAGAGGCCTAGAGAATTTAAAATTGAAGTGATGTGTGAATTTACTTAATGATTAAGGAAATTTGTTAAATGTGAACATAATAAATGAGTGTATATACCTACATATATGTGTTTATAAAACATTTAAGTACCTTGATGTGGTGCAGGCACAGATGTGGTATGGACACAATTTCTGTGGTTGTCTTTGTAAATCTACAGTGTAATTTGGAAGACATGCTAAAATAACTGGTTGTAATTGTAATTTGATATTTATTAAGCACTTATTACAGACCAAGTGTGCTTTCCCAAACTTAGAATTGTAAACTGTAATTCGTCCTGTTTGAACTTGGAATTGGGGGTGGGGGAAGCAGACTTCTTTGAGCTATGACTTTAAATCAGTGTTTATTAGACATGTGGTGTCATCAAAAATTTAGCATGGAAGAGACCTTGAACCTTTCTTCATTGCTTTTTCATGGCATGAGTCTGGTGATAAATGGCATTTCATTTGTTCTCTTTTACTGCTGCTCACCAGCACGCTTTGAAACACGTTTTTGTGCTTTCATTACATAGAAATGAAGATTTGTTTTTTTCCTTTATTAAGTTGTCTGATAATGATTTTTTTTTTAATCGTAGAAGAAATTGCTTCAGAGAATTCAGATTCCATCTATAGTTCAACTCCTGAAGTTAAGGCCTGAGCATCAGGCAATTGCCACAGATAGTATACAACTTACGGACTAAAACAAGCAAGCAGAGAAAAGCATCAGTCTTCCAGAGTGACTCTGCTTAAGGCAAACATGAGCAGTAAATACTGAGGAATATGAATTAGCTCCAGTGCTGGGACTAACTTGGTGTTACCTGTCAGTGAAAATTCAAGGTACCAGATGAAGGCAGGTGGAGTTAATATGCTCTTGTACTACGATGGCCTGTTTGTTGTCTTTTTAATGAATATGTGCAAGCCAACACCCATTTCTCTTATTACAATTAGATTTCTTATAGCTGTTATGTTATTATGGAAAAGAAGAATATATTGGCCTATTTTTCTGACTTTTTCCTTAAAGCAGAAAGTCTTTTTTTTTTTTTTTTTTTTTTTTTTGCTTCAGTTGTAAAGAAGAGGGAAGAATACATGATAAAGTAACTGGCTTGATTTCTCCTTCATTGTACACTGCTTCTGAACATCTAATTGTTTTTAGTTGTCAAAATAAAATTCCTCTAAAATAAGACATTGTTTGTTTCTTGAGAAAAATTGGTAGATTGGCTTTTTATAAAATAGAAATCACCAGAAGGTTTCCTGAATAACTATGTCAGACGATGGCCTGATTATATAATCTGTGGTAAACATTTTATCTCCTAATTTTGGAAATGAAGTACTTGTACTGAATTTTTGAAATGTTCATGACCTTTGCTGGGTTGTTTTTACTGTAGTTCCTCCTGTGTGGGATAGACTTGCTTGACCTGCCTTTAAAAAAAACCTCTCAGAATAATGACTTAGTTAAGTTATAAATGCTAGTACAAGAAAAAATACAGAACAATTCAGAATTAGCAAAAAAGACAGAAAATTCAGTTTCACCATCCCTAATGATTAATTAAAATGGAGCAAATGTTATTGTACATTAGTGTACTATACAGACAGAACAGGTTTTATAAAAATGGGATAATTGTAGAGCTGCAACATTTAGCTTATCCTTTAAGTTAGGGTGGCATTCAAAAAGGCTCTACCAATTTTCTAATAAAATGAATCAATTGAGTTTAGACTTGTATTACTTTAATATGGAGGTTTTTTAAAAAAATATTTATGCATATGGAACTGGGTTATGAGGTAGTGGTGCAGGGGTGGTGAGCAGATTCACCAGAGACAGAGTGGGGAGCAGAACAGGTAGATCTATGAAGTACACTGCTGAGGGGAGCAGCGGGTGGGTCAGGAGAGGTCTGCTGTGCCATGTGGGACACCTCCTTAGCTGGGAATCGAACTCATGCTGTAGTGGCTATGGACAGCTTCATAGGGCTGTGCTTTAATCTGTTGCGCCACCCGGGAGGGCCCTAATATTGTTGGGATTTAAACTGGTCATTTGGAATTACTTTAATGAAAGTCTTCAATTTTTTTTTCCTAGTTCATATTGTGAATAACATTTAATAATGTTAAATATGAAAGAATAGGACACATTTTTGAGGATTTGTGAGTAAACACAAAAAGGGACAAGGGCATCATCTCCTGGGGAGACAGCAGCTGTCCTCACAGGGTGTGCCAGGCCCGTAATATTCACTCGCTGTTGACCTAGTTCTCTATTTTGCAACAGTACCACAGATGTACTGTGGGTCCTAAATAGAGTTCAGGTATATGTGTAGCAGAGTGGCATCATGAAATTACTTTGTATCAATGAAATTTATAAACCAAGGAAATTTCTTCTACTAAATTTTCACAAAAATCTGAAGATTCTGTACAGCCACATGCTTATATTCTTCACTGAATGGCACGTCACTTGGAATCTCAAAATGCTTGTTTTCAGTTGAGTTTGTAATGTGAAGAATGTCAGGCCATGACACTTCCTAAATGAACTGAAATTCAGTTACTAGTACTGGATTTTTGAAATGTTCATGGCATTTGTCACGACTCTTCCTGTATTGGATAGAAATGCTTGACCTGTCTTTTGGAAAAATCTTTCAGAGCAATGACTTATTTAAATTATGCATGTTATTATAAGAACAAATACAAAGCAACTCAAAATTAGCCCACAGATAGTGGGAAAATCCCTCAGTTCCCCCTGGCCCTCCTCCAAAACACTGTGTGACTAGTGTTGATCATGGTATATATAAAATGTCAAGTTCCGAGGCTTTTTGCAAGTTTTTAGACCCAGGTTACCCAGCTATATAATTTTAGGTTTCAGCTTTTGCTAGGTGAATAGAGCTGTTTAGGATTGTTAGCTATTTTTGTTTTAATAACAGGGCATGTTTTTAAGACCTTTGTTAGTTTAACTCTTAGGGGTAATCTTATTTTTGCTTGTAACATTTTGTATATTGAGGTTACAGGCTGTCTGGTACAGTGTATCAGTAGTGATTGTTTGGTATCCTGTCTTTCTATTGCTGTAACAAATACCCACGAGTTTGTGGTTTGAAATAACAAATTTATCTTGAGGTCAAAAGTAAGTCTGAGCAAAACCCAAAGTGTAGGCAGGGCTGAGACAAGCTGTTTCCTTGTCTTAGCTTCTAGACACCACCAGCATTTCTTTTTCCTGGTCTCTTCTGCCTTCGAAGAGGCAGCAAGTCTTTTTCAAATCTTACCCTCTCCTGACACCCTCCTTCACTTAAAAGTTAATTTATTTGTAATTATGTTTGCTTGGATAATCTCACCATTTGCATAATGCTAATTTACCAACACCTGCAAAGTCACATTTTTTTATATTTATAGGCTCAGGGGTTAGGACATGGCTATCTTTGTGTGGGTAGGGGGTGCTTTCATTTGCCCACCACATTTTGTAATGATGGAGTCCTACAGTGGCATTTACTTCAGTAAAAAGTTCAAGTGTCCTCTATTAGAGTTGTACCTACTAAGGTCTCTAGCAACCTGCGCATTTCTAATCTAGCCATCACTTTTCTTATTAAACCCAAGCAGCACTCAAGAGTTGTCTATTCCCTTGTTTTAAAAATAATTTTTTTCCTCTGCTGTTTGTTCTGTGTTTCTCCTGTGTGGTAGACCCTCCATAGCCACAGTTTCTGTAGTTTGTTACCCACAGTGAACCATGGTCCAAAATTACTGCACAATTATGGATTTTAAGTTGATATTCCATGCACATAGCTTTTATTTCTGTTTTGTTGTTGTTGTTGTTGTTATTATAAGTCTCTTCCTGTGCCTAATGTATAAAAGAAACATCACAGGTATGTCTACAGGAGAATCTATAGTATATATGGAGTTTATGTGGTTTCAGGTATCCGCTGCTATACTTTTCCCCACCTGACTTAGGAATATTGTTCTGAGAGTTGTTGACCTGTGAATGATGTGAATGATGCTTCTTAGAAATCACAGGCTCCATGAGACACTAGACTAAATAAAATGAAACTTCCCCACAGCCACTGTGAGCCCAGTTCTCCATTACACCTTGTTAGAGGGTGAACCAGGCACAGTCCATGCCCTTTGGAACTTATCATTTGGATTCCTGATGGAGGAATGATTAGAAAGGAGGCATCACAAGATTGATGCATACAGGGAACTGGGGGTAGAAGGGATTAGCATAGCATTGACAGCCATAGAAAATCAAGATCCTTAGGTGCCAGTGCCTAGATTACAAAGCAGAAAATCCAGGCAGGTAGCAGACTGCTGTAGGCAGTGCCTAGAGCATTGTGGAGTCTCCTGTCCGTTTCAAATTCTGCATAGATACCCAAAGTTAGCAACTGACAGCTCACAAAGATGAGCTTCCTACAGAAGATGATGAAACCTGCTACCCACACTGAGGGGCAGCTGCTTCTGGAGTCCTTTACTTTCTTGTCCCTTTTCTAATAAACCTGCTCTTTAACTACTAACATCTCTGTCTGTGGAGAAACTCACCACATGCCACTGAAAGGGGAGCTCTGGTGAAACCCTTTCCCACAGGGAACCCAAATACCCCACACTTAACTCCAAAACACCACTCGAGATAGTCAGGCCAGGTAAGTTCTTGAGGCTTCGAGATAAATATGATCTATTCCTAAAACTAATTTTAATTGAAGGAGCGGTGGTAGGAAAACCTATAATATATCTGACAGTTTAACATTGACATTCAAAATCATATCCATAAAAAGGAAGGGCAGGCAAAATCTGTATGAACCTAAAACTATAATACTTTACTTTTTTTTTTTTTTTTAAGATTTATTTATTTGTACATACAGAACTGGGGTATAGGCCAGAGGCCCAGGGGTGGTGAGAGGCTTCACCAGAGACAGAATGGGGAGCAGAACAGGCAGATAGACGAAGTACACTGTTGAGGGGAGCAGTGGGCTGGTCAGGAGAGGTCTGCCACATCATGTGGTCACCTCCGGGGCAGGCGGGAATCAAACTCATGGGGAAGTGGCTTTCGCTTCTCAGTGCAGTGCTTTAACCCGCTGCGCCACCAGGGAGGGCTATAATACTTAATTCTTGAAAGACAGTTTTACTGTTTGGGCTTGATTCCAGATGGGTACACATAGCTTATTTTCCTCTGCCCCAGGCTTGTTGATTACTTACCTTAGCCTGCAGAAACAGCCTTGAAGGGAATTTGTTGATAATAGTTTCAGGATAATATCTGCTCCTTAAAATTTTGATTTAGCAGGGCTGTGATGGAGCCTAGAAACTACCTCAGAAAAAACCCTTGGGAGTTTCCTGTATAGTGGTACGACTCCACAGATCTTTCAGTCTTTGCCTTAGGGACACTTCAGAAGTTCCAGAAGGCAATATTTAAAAGGGACCTCTATAAAACATTTCTCCACTAAAGAAACTCAACTTGTTTTGTGCTCTATCCCTACTATCTGTTGCCAATTTACTTCAAAACTCAATATTAATACCAGATTACAAGAAATCAATTTTGGAGAAAGTCCTTGAGATATTCTTGTCAGGTAAGTTATGAAAATATTTGGCTGTGGGACCCTGATTCTGGTTTCTCAGCTGAAGTTGGGGGGGCAGTGTCTCACAGGTTTTTTGTTTTAATGTATTTATTCATATAGAACTGGGGTACAGGCTGGAGATGCGGAGGGTGAGAGGATTCACCAGAGACAGAGTGGGGAGCAGAACAGGCAGATCAACGAAGTACACTGCTGAGGGGAGCAGTGGGCTGGTCAGGAGAGGTCTGCCGCCGTCATGTGGATCTCCTCTGGGGCAGGCGGGGATTGAACTCATGCAGAAGTGGCTTAATCTTCTTAGTGCTGTGCTTTAACCCGCTGTGCCACCAGGGAGGGCCCTTGTTTTAATGCATTTACAGAATACAAAAGGCATGAAAATTACTTAGAATCTGGTTTATAGAGTTGTGTCTGTCCCTAAAAAGAGAATTCCATCTGTATCCGTTAGGAGTATCATTAGATTGGGTGTAATCTCTAGCCAAAGATGACCAGGAACACCACAGGAACTGGGAGATGTCTCTCTAGAGGGTTAGTAATTTGAGGAAAGTTCAAGAAGTGGGACTTTGCTCAGGGTTGAATGCTAGCAGGAAATGCGATACTTTTGTGACAGCTTACTAATTTTTATTTACAGCAGAAGAATGGGGTGAGGCCTAAACCTGGTAAAAGAAGGGTTAGTTACTTACCCCGGGACAGTCAGCCAGAATAGGAGGTTGTTGGGTTATTTTTGTCATTTGGAAAGTTTGTGATGTGTGTACATATGTGAGTATCAGTGATCTTGCTTTTGTTGATTCCTCCAGGTCATAACAGCCATGGGCTTGGCTGAGGTGGTGGTGTTAATTGCATTACAGTTTAGCTTGGGTGCAAGCCTGAAAGCTCCAGGCTTTCAAGGCCTGTTCTTCTCTTTCTAGAGGTTAAAATAGAAACAATGGTAATTTTTTTGTTTTGTTTTGTTTCTTTGAGTTAGTGTGTTTGGAGTGCAGGGTCTTTGGGTTCACTCTGGGAAAGTTTTTGCCAGAGTCCCTTTTCAGTGTCACATGGTGAGCTCCCAGGCGAGTTTCTCCACGAGATAGAGACATTAGTTATTTAAAGAGCAGGTTTATTAATGAAAGGCCAGAGGAGCTAAAAGATACTTGCATAGGCATAAGGGGGCAGGAAGAGCTGCCCTAAAGGGACAGGTTTGCAGAGAGACCTGCATGGTTGCAGGCAGGTGGCTTTGAAGAGAGCGGCCTCCACCGTGGGAGGTCAATGAAGAGACAGCCCAGGCCTCCACTGTGGGAGGTCAGTGAAGAGACAGCCCAGGCCTCCAGTGTGGGAGGTCAGTGAAGAGACAGCCCAGGCCTCCACTGTGGGAGGTCAGTGAAGAGACAGCCCAGCATGGTACAGGTCGTGGGCAGGTAGGAGGCTACTACCCTGGGAAGGGTGAGAGTTGAAGGAAAGGAGCACCTGCACAGTGACAGGTGGCAGAGGACGGCTGCCCCATGCCAGTGCAGAGACTGCACTGATACAGACCTATCTCTGGGAGGGTCTCACTCCTTGTGACCTGAGGTTTGTTGTTGATTTTTGATATCTGCAGAATTTAAAAGGGACCAGAGATTCTCCAGTGGGCTCCATATCCTTATCTTTTACCTTTTGGGTCTATGCTCTAGACATCATCTACAGCAGTCTGCTACCTGCTTAGATTTTATGCTTGTGATCTAGGCATTGGCACCTCAGGATCTAGGCTTCTGTTTCTTTGGCTGGGTCAATAGCTATGCTCATCCTTTCAAGCCCCAACTCCCTATGTGAGTCAGTGTTATGGTGCCCCCTTTCTTTTACTTCCTCCATCAGTAACAGGCTATCATTGTATGGAGAAAGTCGATCTAGACACCTTCAATAACTATTCACCAATAGTTATGGGTTGACGAGAGGCAGTTCAGTGTAAGGAAATAGATGAGGACATTTTTGTGTAGCCTGCAGTTGCTGGGTGGACCTCACATTAATACTAACAGTTTGCTTTTGTTGAGCACTACCTATGTACTATGGCATGTCCTGTGTGCTTCGCATACATATCAACCTTTCAGGCAAATGTGTATTGATCACGCCTGTTTTTCCTGTTAAGTAGCAACATCCCTAGAAGCACCTATTTCTGAAGTGCAATTGCTGGTAATATTAAGGAGAGGGTCAGCACATTTTGAACCTATATTACACCACACAGAATGCCTCTCTTTCAGAACTTTACCGCTATAGGCACAGAACTGGATATATACCTGACAGGAGATTCACATGCCATTATATGTATTTTTCTAAGCACCTAGCTCAATAACTGGCTCATGGTAGGAAACCATAACTAGTTTTCTTTCAGAAGCAAGGTGCCTCTGATTGTGACTACAAATAAATTGACCATAAATTTTAACCTTTTGGGCACAGAAAAGTCAGGCTAAAAAAAAAATCACTATCAGAGAGAAGAAATTGTCAGGGTCAATTCTTCTAGGAGGAAAAGGAAGTTTGGGAGGGCAGTTGATGTGCTAGAGCACGGCTGGGATACTTGGTCTTCTCATTCACACCTCACCTGGCCTTTGTTTTCAAACCACAGAGCAACTTCTAAAATCGGGGTTAGCAGTTCTTGTGCGCTCTGGGGAGTTTGCTTTGGGGCGCGCTGAAAGCCTCGGCCAGCGCTGACGCCACGTGAGGCATGGGGCCGCCGCCTGGCCCGCGGATGCCCTCGCCTGCGTCCAGCAAGATTGCTGTTACTAACTTTGCACAAGTTGTCGGGTGCCCTCTGCACCTACAGTAATCAGAGGGCTTTGCAGCTAGCGCCGGAGCCGGCGCGTGGCGGGGCGGCGAGGAAGAGCGGCCGCCCGCGGTCCCGCCCGCGCGCCTCGGGCCGAGGCTCCGCCCCGGAGCGGAGGGGCGGGCAGGAAGGAGGAAGGGCCGGCGGAGGTGAGAGGGCACTCGAGCCGGCGTCTCTGCAGCCAGCCTCGCCATGTCGGCGCACAACCTGGGCACCGAGCTGGGTAAGGGCCACGCGGCGCCCCCTTCCCTGCAGCGCTTCCCAGCCCCCTCCTGCCGGCCGCGGGGTCGCCGCCGCCCGGTGCCCCGGCCCGGGGTCTCGGAGACCCGGGTCGCGGGGCCGGCGCCGCCCTAGGCTGGGAGACTCCATTCTTGGGCACCATGACCCTGCCGGCCTGGGCACCCAACCTTATTTGTGTAATCGAAGGGCAGATGGAAGGATTCGACTCTGATCTTCCTATTAACTCGTTCACCTACTCGCTCTGCTCCCCGGTTGCGAAACAACAAAAATAAACCCTCAAGCCCCTACACAAACGAAAACCAGACTCAAAACCTTCATTTTCTGTTCTTGTTAGAGTCCCTGGGCAATTTATTGCTGTATTTCCACAGATAACTTGAACATAGATGCACCTCAAACAGGTCAGGTTGGGGGAAGTTTGTCAGGTTTGTGAACTGCAGTTTACTGTAAATTGAGTATGAGTTTAAAGGTACAAAGATTTGTAAAGATGTCTGGGTTATTCTGCCAGTTTCATTGCATTGATAGTATCAAATAAAGCGAGATAACTTCCTTCAGAGTTCATAAAGCGATACAAATTTTGTAATTCAAACAACAAAATTAGCCAAAGGTTAAGGTTCTCAGTTTAAAAGCTTGAATAGCTGAGTCTTCGAGTTTGCAGTGTGACTTTGGGGAAATTAATTAATCCCTGCTTAAGTGTCTTGGTCCGTAAATGGTAATAGCGATGCCTACTTAGCTCATAAAATGGTTTGAAAATCAGATGAGAGAGTGTAAAGTGTTTGGTCCCTAGTCAGTGTTAATAATAGGGTTCTTCTGTTGGGGGCTTACTTTCAGAAAACTAGTTTTATAAATTATAACACACACAGGTACTTTTTAAAAAAGTGACCTCTAATTAACATCAAGAGGTGTTCTAGAACTCATGCTAAATGGTAGAGAATGTCTTATGACATTGACTCTCCTTTAGTCACTGCCCTTTAGCACATTGTGTTTTAAACCCTAGCTCTATCTTTGGAACATGGACTTCAGTAATAAAGGAATATTCCCTAGATTGGAAGGTTTCGAAAAATGGGGTTGGTGGGTAGGGATGGTGTGTGGTTTTCTTATCTGGATATCCTTAGGAATATGACTATGTGAATTTGTAAGAGGTGCTCTATTTCCCCAAAACTTATTTTTCAAAAATTTATTTATTTATGGATAGAAGACCTGGGGGCCGGGGTAGGGTGAGAGGGTTCACCATAGATAGAGTGGGAAACAGAATAGGCGGATTGACCAAAATACACTACTGAGGGGAGCAGTGAGTGGGACAGGTGAGGTCTGCCATGCCATGGGGGTCTCCTCCCTGGCTGGGTATTGAATTTGTGCTAAGCAGCTGCTGGCTAGCTTCATAGTGCTGAGCTTCAACCCATTGCGCCACCAGGGAGGGCCCTACATATGGTTTTGATTTCCTTAATTTGTAGGAATTAGAATCTCATCCATTTATTTGTTGAAAATACACTAAACACAAAAACCAGGTGCTATGTAGATTAATGGTAAATGTGAATTTTATGCAATCATTTAAATGATCATAGTTTTATTGTTTTTTGTTTAAATAAAATCATCTACATTTTAAAGACTTTTTCCTTTACTAATATTAATCATTAATCCAGATAGTGATCTAGCTTAAAATCCTAAAATTATTTGAATTTTTTATGCATTGAAGAAAAAATTCTTTTAATATTTATGCATTATGTTGATTGATTACCTTTATAGCTTTCAACTGAAAGTTTTTAATAAGCTGTTAAGAATTACAGAAAAATAAATGTTTTTGTACTCCGAAGGACCAAATATTTCTCATGAGTGTTTGGTCTTCATCCACAGATCCTGACTCAGTTACTCCAACTTGTCACCAAAGCATTGAATTAGCTCCTAAGTGATAACATTGTCTCCTGCTGTGCTAATGATGGTAACTTTTGAAAAGTGCCTGAAGTTGGGGGTTCCAGTGGCTTGGAGAACCAATCCTGTGATTAAGGGTTGGCACTTCCAATCCCACTCTAGGCCTCCAGGGAGGTGCTGGAGGTTGAATTCATGGTCACTGCATTAGTCAATCATGCCTAAATAAAGTAGCCTTCTTAAAAACCCAGAAAGGGCCCTCCCTAGTGGCGCAGCGGGTTATAGCACTACACTAAGAAGCTAAAGCCACTTCCGCAAGAGTTCGATCCCCGCCTGCTCCAGAGGAGATCCACATGGCGCGGCAGACCTCTCCTGACCCACCCGCTGCTCCCCTCAGCAGTGTACTTCGTCGATCTGCCTGTTCTGCTCCCCACTCTGTCTCTGGTGAATCCTCTCACCCTCTGCATCTCTGGCCTGTACCCCAGTTCTGTACGAATAAATAAATCTTAAAAAAAAAAACAAAACAAAACAACCCAGAAAGAGTATCTTTGGAGATACTTAGGGTGAGATTCTAATCCTGGAGAGTGCTTGGATGTTCCATACTCGATCTCCAAACCTTGCTGTATGCATCTCTTTCATTTGGAATTTATCTTTTGGAATGAACTTGATGATCTTATGACTAAATGGGCTTCCTGAGTTCTGTGAATTGCACTAGCAAATTAACTGAACCTGAGGAGAGTCTGTCTGTATATCTGACCTACAGCGTAGGCTTGCAGCTGGCCTGTGAGGAGACTGAGCCCTTTTCCCGTGAAACCTAACAGTCTCTGGATAGATAGTGTTAAACCTGAGAAGAATTTCTTGCATCCCGATGGCATCAGAATTGCTTGCTGAGTGCTGCTGGCCCTATTGCGATGTACCACTTCTCTCTGTTCTCCTGGGGTCCTCTTAGCTTTTCCCTGAAATGTAGGTACAGATGGGCAGTGATCTTTCTTTTGTTCTTTGATGTGTCCAGGGTACTAAGGATAGTGACTGGCACACAGAAGGCCCTCTAACGTGTCCATTGAGTGAAGAAATGAATTTAGAACTTCTTGTTTGGGGTCACCTGAGGCATCCATCTGGGTCCTTGTGCATGGAGGTGTTGTGAGATTTTGCATCTTCTCTCATTTCTGATTATCATTAAAATTCCATTTTATTATTTCTGTCTTTAAAAATATCTCAAGAGGGTTATGCTGAATGTTGACAGTGGCTTCCTTTCAGGTGTGTATTTCTTTTTGGAGGTATTTGGGAAATGAGGGTATTGTGTTAGGGGACTTCTAAGCATCTCCCTGCTTTCTAACTGTACATTAGTAAGCCCTTGTGTACCAAAAGGAAAATTTCAAAGACAACTGAAAAACAGCAGAAAACAAATAATTCAACACTGAATTTTTAATTGGCCAAAGATGGGGGCAATTCTGTGGATTTCCTGTATTCCCCTAACAGTGGATTATTTTAGGCATATATCCATAATTAACAGAATCCTGAGGGACTGTGATGATTATTATGGAGCCTACAGGTTGTTTGATGTGTGGAAGCAAATTCTGTAATCCAAGGCAATACTAGCAGAGAGAACAGTAGGGGTAAAACCTGGATAAAAGAGACCAGCTTGGGCTACTTGTCTGATCTAGAACATGGATGGGATTTTTGTATGTTAGTTAACACATTTTCTCATTTCATAAGTGGTTATGGGGTTCCCACTGTCTACTGAGTATTATAGCCCTGGGCTCTGGCAATTTAACATACACACAGCCCTGCTAGGCAGAGCTAGGTCTGGTTCAGAAGCTGGGCATCAAGCCAGAGTCACATGAAAATAATTGTGAATGGGAAATGCACTTCTCCACTTAGTCTCTTTAAGTGACTTAGTCTCTTTAGGCAGGTATGACTAATCCCTGCCTAAAAAGGGTGGTGATAACAGAACATTTTGGTCCTCTTGCATTAAAACCTTTCATTTTTCTTTAAGACTTTACTCAGCTAAAAACCAGAGATGGAGTGAGCTCTTTTCGCCACTTCTAAAATCTAGACTTTGGTGTTGAATTTCTGATTTTGATTTTGGTGTTGAATTTCTGATTCCCCATTGTAAAATTAACAATTTAAAATTAAAAACATTTTTGAATGGACTCATCTTAAACTTTAGCAAAGCAGAGAACATGTGCACAAAGTTTCATTATTTCACATGACTCTGCTCTTGGTGCCTAGCTTTTGGGTTTATTGGATCACAAAGAGTTGTGCAGGTGCCAGGGTCTTTGCTAAATACTTTTAAAATAATCTTGTTGTACTTCACAACACCTCTTTGGGGAAAATGGTGATAATGCCCATTTTACAGAAGAACAAACTAAGGTACAGAAAGTCATAAGTTACTAGTTAAAAGCCAGTTAGAAACAGCTAATAATTCTAACCCTGGTGCTTTGGTGTGCAGGTTGCCTGCTTCACCCCCAGCCTTTCTTTTGCCCCAGTCCATAACTAGGGATCCTCAGTGTTCTAGACAGAAAGGTAATTTATGCAGAAAGGTTATTTATGCATACAGAACTAGGGTACAGGCCAGAGGTGCAGGAGTGGTGAGAGAGGATTCTCCAGCGTCAGAGTGGGGAGCAGAACAGGCTGACTGACCAAGTACACTGCTGAGGGGGGCAGTGGGTGGATCAGGAGAGGTCTACCACACCATGTGGGTCACCTGGGGCAGGGATGGAACTCATACTGAAGTGGCTTTAGCTTCTTAGTGTTGTGTTTTAACCCGCTGCGCCACCAAGGAGGGCCTCATGAGTCATTTTATAGTGACTTAGATTTGCTTTGCCTGTGTCTAGATGACCATAGCCAAAACCCACATCTTAACCAAAACTATCATGGAGGATTTGGTGTGTACCAAGGGAGACTGGAGATAATCTCATTTGAATGGATCATGAGAAGTAGGTTTAGTTGTCACTGAAGAAGTTTTCTGGGATGGCTTGTTAAGACCAGCCTTCCTTGGGATTTCTTCTTGTGAATACATTTGTTCTATTGACTTGAGGTGACTTTTGTTTTTCTTTTTTTTTTTTTTTGACTTTTCTTGATGGTTTGATTCCTAAATCTGAGGTTTCTCTGAAGTGT